CCCCTTTTATCTTGATGCTTCTCTACTCTCACCACTACTGTGGCGCCGGTTCCTTGCCCATCAACATTAACCTCCTCTCGCATGGATTGTATCTCGATCGAAGGAGGGCTGGTGTACGCGTGTATGTACACGTAGGAATTTATTAGAACCAGTTGCATCTATTGTAATGCTTCGCTTGCATCTGTCCCTTCAGCGAGAATTTGTTGCCCGGTATCTCTCATTGTTGTAGCGTTCATCAGAATATTAAGAGTTTATTGTACTAAGCTTTAATTCGAAATGAATTTATCAATCACTTTGTACTTTTCGGCATCCTACTACACTATTGACTATGTCCGGCGTCAAGGCTTCAACAATGGGAATAGTAATTCCTCTCTCCTATCGAGTTCAGATGCACGGTTTTAACAAAAGTACTCCATGGATGGTACACGTAGAGTCCCCACAAACCTTGCCTTTTGTTTGAAATAAACGCAAATATGTGAAACTTTAGTTCTTACTATTCTAACACCTTTTTGGTTTCAGCGGAAACTGTTAAGATTCATCATTTAAATCAGTAAATGAGGTTTTTGTGTTATAACTGTTAGTAAGAAAGGCAACGAGTATAAAGGGGGCGTGTTAAAGATACTTGAAGTAGAAAAGGTCTTACTTCGCTCTATGTTATCTGCTAAGACTTGTATTCTGGTAATAGCCAGAATGAAATCTGAAGATAAAACTCTTTTCTGTCATCCAACCCCTGTCAAATGTGAACCATTGAGGTTGATCTTACTGTTCACTTGGTGTATATCGATGAGTACTAAACTTAGGAATTCTGGCTAGTTTAATGAGCTAGTTTAGCCGATATGAAAAGCCAGTGAATATCTGAAATGTCCTCTTGATTTGACTTTGCTTTTTAATTCCGACTTTAGCAAGAGGCCGAGACCCAACTGAAGGGTTCTCTGGAATCAGAAAGTGTCCTTCAAACGAAGCTGGCTGAGGCAGAATCTACTCTTATCTCCCAACGCGCAGCACTTGAGACCCACGAGAGTACAGTCGCCGAAATTGAGGCCAAATTGATTAGTGCTCTAGCCGAAAATCAGACCCTGGTCGACCAGATCATTGAACGTCAAAACAAAGCTGAGCAATTGGAGTCCGTTCTACAGACGACACACCAGGAGGTGGACGGGTTTCAGCGAATCGTCCTTGATTTGGGACGTCAGAACCAAGCTCTTCAGGTAAGAACTAGCCTCCTCCCCCCTTCCCCCTCCTTCATTTCTTACTGACGTCGTTTATCTCAGATCCAACTAGAACGGTTGACTAATCGCCAGTGGGTGTCTGACGACTCCGCTTTGGCTTGTACAAACTGCAACAAGGAGTTTACAATCAGCATTCGGAAGGTATGATCTTCAAACCATTACTATTCAAACATTAAAATAAAACATCTTGTGGTTTAAATATTTCCGGAAAAGTCAGGGAATAGTTGTCGTCGAAAAATAAGCCCTCTTACATTAAAATTCAGTTCCAATTAATCTGAGCACCCGAGTTAGGTAGACTTCATGTATATTGAAATTGTTTAGGATAAATCGACCTATTCGCCAACCTTTTTGGTTGTTGGAAGCATTTCGGGTATAGGTGTATCATTTTAGAGTAATAAGGGGGGGGGGGGACTCGGATTGGCCGTTCCAGTTACTGGATGTTCATCGATGGGCACCACATCCATAACATCTGCTCACATTGCCAAAACCTTAGTTAAGAAGAGTTGAGAATCTTATGGAAATTGGTAACCGGAGATGTTGATCATCATTAAACACTACTATCGAAGGCAATGTAGGGCTTTATGACACTTTCCACTGAGGAAATAATGCAAGAAAAGGAAATAGAGGCGCAAAATTCATAGATAAATCTCTAGTCATTTTGTTATTGATTTGTGCTAACAATACTCTAATATGTGATATTATTTATTTATTTCAAATGGCAGGCGTTTTGATAGTTATTATTAGCCCTTTAGTTGAGTTCAGGTTTCACAGAGGGAGAGGAACATCAAATCGAAAAAAGTCTTG